TGGACCTCCTTTTCCATTTGGCCAATTCTACTTTTTAAGTAGAATTACTTCACTAGCTTTTTGGATTTCTTTTGCCATTTGGTCTAGTCTATTTTTTAAGGTGTTATTTTCTTCAGCATTTTTTTGGGTCTCCTTTACCAAACTGTTGACTTGTTTTTCATGATTTTCTTGCATCACTATTATTTTTCTTCCCAATTTTTCCTTTACCTCTCTTACTTGATTTTTAAAATCCTTTTTGAGCTCTTCCATGGCCTGAGACCAATTCATATTTTTCTTAGAGGCTTTGTATGTAGGAGCTTTAACTTTGTTGTCTTCTTCTGAGTGTATGTTTTGATCTTCCTCGTCACCAAAGTAAATTTCTATAGTAAGAGGTTTTTTTTTTTCTATTGTGTGCTCATTTTCCCAGCCAATTACTTGAATTTTTAACTCTTTGTTAAGGTAGGGCTCTGCTTCCAGTGTGGAGAGCAAACTGTCCCAAGCTTCAAGAGCTTTGTGCAGCTGTTTTCTTTTTCTTTCTTTCTTTTTTTTTTTAAGGGAATTGGAGTTAGTGACTTGCCCAGGGTCACACAGCTATTAAGTGTCAAGTGTTTGGTCTGAGACCAAATTTGAACTCAGGTCCTCCTGATTTTGGGCCAGTGCTTTATCCACTGTGCCAACTAGCTGCCCCACATGCAGCTGTTTTCAGAGATACTTCTAGGGACGTGTAAGTTTTCAGTTCTTCCAAGGTGGTATTATCAAAGGAGAGGTATTTACTCCTCTCCTGGCCTGTGCTCTGGTCTGTGAATGACAATAAGCACTCTTTTCTACCCTGGAACTGTGAGGAGGGTCCCCTCTCCACTCCTGTCACAAGCTCTGCTATGCTAGTGCTTCTCCTTGCCCCAGGACTGTCATCCAGGACTGCGACCCAGACCCAAGTATGGGCAAAGCAACAGAGTCCTGCCTCAGTGCTAGCAAAGAAACCCCTGTAATCTCCTTCTGACCAGTTGTTCAATCCCTTTACTGTCTGTGGGCTGAGAGCTCTAGAGCTGCTGCTGCCTATGTTACTGCTGATTCAGTCACTTCAAGGCCTGCTCCTGGTTTGCTGAGGCTGGGACTGTGCTGGTGTGGCCTGCTTTGGACTGCGCTCCTCTCTCACCCAGGTCTGACAGACCTTTCCTGCCGATCTTCTAAGTTATCTTTGGCATCTGTGGGCTGAGAAGTCTGGAAACCACTACTGCTGTCAGTAATTCAGTCCCCTGAGGCCTGCTCTGGGTTTGCTGGGGCCTAGTCTGCACTGTTGTGGCCTGTGCTGCAATGCACTCTTCTCTCAGCCTGGTGCAACAGACCTTTCCTATCATCCTTCTAGGTTGTTATGGGCTGGAAGTTTGTTTTGCCCTGTCTTTTAGTGGGTTCTGCTGTGCTAGAATTTGTTTAGAGTAATTTTTTAAAGGCATTTGGAGGGGTTTGGGGGAGCGCTTAGGCGAATCCCTGCTTTTACTCCACCATAAGAATACAAGTCATTTCCCAATAGATAAATGGTCAAAAGATATGAACAGGCAGTTTTCAGATGAAAAAAAATCAAAGCTGTCTATATTCAAGTGAAAAAATGCTTTAAATCCTTATTTGATTAGAGAAATGCAAATTAAAACAACTCTGAGCTACCACTTCACACCTAGCAGATTGGCTTGTATGATAAAAAAGGAAAATGATAAATGTTGGAGAGTGTGGGGAAATTGGGACACTAATGCACTGTTGGTGGAGTTGTGAACTGATCCAATCATTGTGGAGAGCCATTTGGAACTATACCCAAAGGGCTATAAAACTGTGCATACCCTTTGATCCAGCAATACCACTACTAAGTCAGTATCTCAAAGAGAGTAAAAAAAAAAAAAAAAAAAGGAAGAGACACTATTTGTAAAAGGTTATTTACAGCAGCTCTTTTTGTAGTGGTAAGGAATTGGAAATTGAGGGAATGGCTGAATAAGTTATGGTATATGGTTGTAATGGAATACTATTGTGCTATAAGAAATAATGTGGGGGGGCAGCTAGGTGGTGCAGTGGATAGAGCACTGGCCCTGAAGTCAGGAGTACCTGAGTTCAAATCCGGCCTCAGACAAAACACTTGACACTTACTAGCTGTGTGACCTTGGGCAAGTCACTTAACCCCAATTGCCTAAAAAAAAAAAAGAAATAATGAGCAGGATGATTTCAGAAAAATCTGGAAAGAACTATATGAACTGATAGAAAATGTAGTGAGGAGAACCTTGTACAGAGTGACATCAGTACTGTATGGTGATCAACTCTGAATTACTTAACTATTCTCAGCAATATAACAATCCAACAGAATTCCAAAGGACTTATGATGAAAAATGCTATCCATCTCAAGCAAACTACTTTTTTTATCTATGTCTTTTACAACATGACTGATATTTGAAATATTCTATATGATTACACATGTATAACATATCAAATTGCTTACCATTTCAGGGAGGGAAAACCGAGGGAGGAAGAGGAAAAATTTGGAACTTAAAAATTTTTTTAAAAATTCATGTTAAAAATTGTCTTTACAAGTAATTGAGAGGAGAATGAGATATTATTTTTTTAAAAAGAAAAACACCGAGGGATTATAATGCATTACAAGTTCATATTACCATCTTTAGTATGATGGGGCATCCAAAAGAGCTAATCTGATTTTAAGATACATTACTAAAAGAATAGGAACAAAAAAGAGGAAGATGATAATTCTGTAGTACTCTGCACTGGTGAGACCACTTCTGCAATACTGCTATAATGTGCCTCACTGAATCTTCTTTTATCCAACTTAAGTATCCTTGATCCTCAAATAATAACTGATTACCTTCCTTTGTCTGTATTATGATTTGTTCAGTTCTGGGCACTTTTCTTTCCTTCTTTCTTTCTTTCCTTCCTTCCTTCCTCCCTCCCTTCCCTCCTTCCTTCTTTCTTTCTTTCTTCCTTTCTTCCTTCCCCAGGCAATGGGTTAAGTGACTTGCCCAGGGTCACACAGCTAGTAAGTGTTATGTGTCTGAGGCTGGATTTGACCTCAGGTTCTCTTGAGTCTAGGGCCAGTGCTCTAACCACTGTGCCACCTAGCTGCCCCTGGGTACTATATTTTACAAATGACACTGACAAGATGAAATGCATGCAGAGGAAGGTGACCAGAATGGTAAATGAATTGGAAACTATGCCATGGTAGGACAAGTTGAAGGATCTAGGGTTGTTAGTCTGGATATAAGGTTTGATGGGGAGGAGGTACATGATAGTCTCCAAATATATGAAAGTTTATTGTGTAGGAAAGGGATTAGATTTAAAGGCAAAACAAAGACCAATGAGTGGATGTTATAGGGAGGTAGATGAGATTTCTCTGTAAAGAAAAATCTTCCTGATGATTAGAGTTGTCCCAAAAACAGAAGTTCTGAAAAGATAGTAAATTCACCATTACAAGAGATTTTCAAATGGAGGCTGGATGACCATTTGTTAAGGATGTTACAAATGTTACAAATACAGATTAAGGGTGTTACAGCTGAGATTTATGATTTGTAGAGAATGGACTAAACAAATGACTTCTGATGTTTCTTTCAGCTCTAACAGTTTATCATTTAATCCTGCTAGAAATACTTCTACATAATGAATAAAATGCAATGAGATGAATTTTTTTCATGTAATTCATAAACTGACTCTGAAGGAGTCAAAAACAGAGTTTTTAAAATTTTAGAGCAATGGTATCATTTTAATGGCAGAATTAGAGAGGCAGTGTCATGTAGTGGAAAGAGCATTAAGATCTCTAACACATATGAGCTACATTAGTTGGAGTAAATCATGTAACTTTTCGGTTCTTCAGTTTCTTAATCAGTAAAATGGAAATAATAATGCCTATCCTTCCTACTTCATTGGGCTAATATAAGAATCTCAAAATGAAATGAATGGGAAAGCATTTTGAAAATCAGGTGTTACATAAACAGAACATATTATTATTATTGTTATTATTTTTCCATGAAAACCCTACTCCAATGCTTGATCATATTACTGAGGTAACACTGTGCTCCTGAAGGCTACGCTGGTAGAACATCAGCTCTCAGGCCCTTCTTGATCGAAAAGTTTCCAATATTGAGAACAGCACTTGGAGTTGTAAGGAGTCAAGTCCAACCTTTCTGAGTTTTAGTTTGCTTACCGGTAGAATAAATGTAACAACACTTGTACTATCTACTTCACAAGCTTGTAGTGAGGAAATAATTTTAAACCTTAAAGCACTACAGCAATGTAAGCTATTATTATTATGATCTCAGCGACTGACTCTTCCTTCCCTTCCTTTCTTCCTTCCTTCTTTCTTTCCTTCTTTCTTTCTGCTTATCTATCTATCATTGGAAGACAACCTAGGTTTTTAAAGAGTTTCATTACCAAAAGGTTCGTTACAAGCTGATTATTTTTTTTCAGCCACAAAAATTCATGAAACTGTTGACTTAGGCATGGAGAAGAGTTGCTACCAGGAAGCACAGGACCTATGCTAAAGAAATCATAGATTCTTTAAATGTAGTACTTAAGTGAGTATAATTATTACTGTTAATAGTAACTCAAATTTATTTGTCACTCTAAGGTTTATAAAGAACCACATAAGCAGGTAATCTCTAAATGTGACATTTTGAAGGACAACAGTCATTTGCATGTATAAATTCTGTTGTGTTATGGAAGATTCAGTCTCATTGCTTTACAGTGATACCTTGCACAAAACTTCAGATAAAGATTAGATAAAAGATTGTTAAAATATGATGGAGACATAATGAGCTGCTATAAGAAATTAATATGTTTAGGGACATACTTAAATTGTGAAGTACTATTAGGGAAAGCAATCTTGAACCATCTTTTGGTGTCCCCACAATAGACAGGCTCTTTAACTGGTGGGATCTCCAATTGGAGGAATTGATCTCAAGGACTCAAAGCCTGGCCCAAAGCATGGACTTTGTAACTGGACATCATATGACCTCAGGTCCCAGCTCTTTTCTTACCTTCCACCTTCTCTTCTGACATCACTGTGTGACAGAGTGAGAGGGAGAGAAAAAAAAGGTGGACCATAGTATCTCCTTTTTTTACGGCTTCTACTAAAGTCTCGTCATAAAATGAAAACTTAGGGTCAGCCAGTTTGTTGTAGGAGAAGTCAACCTTCTCTGTTTCCTAGAACACAAGGACAAGAACAATTATTCCAGTCAAGGTCTCTTAGGGAAATGCCTGGATTTTTTAGTTGACCTAGACACTCTAATTTCTAGCTCTGCGGAGACATTTCCTACCTAGGGGCCTTCTGAGCACGTTCTAATTCTTTTTTTTTTTTTTGCTTTTGCTTTTTGGTGAGGCAATCGGGGTTAAGTGACTTACCCAGGGTCACACAGCTAGTAAGTGTCAAGTGTCTGGGGCTGGATGTGAACTCAGGTCCTCCTGACTCCAAGGCCAGAGCTCTATCCATTGTACCACCTAGCTGCCCCCACCCTCTAATTCTTAAAGCTCATTTCCAGGAACCAGCTCTATCATCCTGTTGCTTCAGGCATCTGCTAGGTCTTTCTCCTTTTCGTTACATCCTCTCTTGCCTTCACCAGAATTCATTCTAATAACCATCTTCTGTCTCTCTTTTGCATTTTTCAATCTTTCCTTCTCTACTTGGTTCTTCCCTTCTACAAATAAATGTGTTCAGATTTTCCTTCTACAAAACAAACACACACTTTTCTTTAACTGCCATTCCAATAACTGCTGTCCTTTCATTCTCCTATCAGTTTTTTTTGAAAGGGTAATCACTACATCTACTTCTTTTTGATCCACTCATTCTTCAACCCTTCCCGCACACTGTAAAAACCACCCTCAAGTAACCAGTATCATCTGATCAAGAAATTCCAAGGCTTTCTTAGTCTTCATTCTTTGTATTCTTTGAAGCATTTGTCATTGTTGAACACTCCCCTTCTTATAAATTCTCTTTCATTAAGCTGCTCCACTAAGTTTGTTCTCCTCCCCCCTTTCTGATTACTTTCTCTGGTCCCTCTTACTCCTCTCACCCATGAAATATAAGTTTTCATTTCAGTCCTGTCTTTGGCCTTCTCTTTTTTTCTCTGTCTTTACATATTCTTCCTGAGAGTTCATTCATCCCCTAAGCTTCAGCTATTACCTCAGTAAATCTTGCCTTGATCTCTCTTCTAGCTCTGCAGATGCATCCCCCTGCTGGACAGCTCCACTGGATGCCCTATCATCACCTCAAACTCACCATCACCTAATAAAAATTAATCATCTTTTCCCCACAAATCAGCTCCTCTTCACTTCCCTGTTTCTTACAATGACACCATCAGGCTTAAACATCTAGAGTTATGACTGACTTTTGTCTTCGCCTCACTCCTTGAGTCTTTTTGGCCATCAAGTCCTGTTGATTCATCTTTTATAAGGTCTCAGGTACCTGTCCTTTCTTTTCCACTACTACTACTAACTAAATTCAGGCAAGTTCTTATGATTTCACAGTTGTACTATTTCAATGGCCTCGTAAATGATCTTGCTTCCAGTATCCTTTCCACCCCCCACCTCCATTATCCACCCTGTTAACTGTCATCAGATTAATCTTTCTTAAACAATGCTTTGACCATATTATCTCCCTGTTCAAAAATCTTCAATGGCTTCCATTGCCAGTCAACTAAAGGGGAAATTCCTTAAACCTGGAAAACAAAGTTGTCCAAAAACATTACTTCAATCTGCCTTCCTAGTCTTATACACTTCAGTTAACTTGTGCTTATTAGTCTTCCCTGAGTAGACCTAATATTTTTATGTCTTCATTTTAGTTCATGCTTTTCCTCTGATCATTTAGAACAGTAGGATCAAACTAAAATAGAAGGGTTTTCCTTCGGGCAGCATACTGGTACAGAAAACCACAAATTAACATTATCTCTGTTGTATTGTATTTTTATTTACTTTATTAAATATTTACCAATTACATTTTAATCTAGTTTTGGCTACACAGGAAATTTAGGGGCAGACTGTGGTCAACAAGTTTGATACATCTAGTATGTTTTTCCCTTCCTCTCTAACTGTTATAAGCTTATTCATCCTTCAAAAACTAGTTTAAAAATGCTACCTTCTCAATGATATCTTTTCTGATTTTTCCCCAACAAAAAGTTATCTCATTCTCTGAAACCCCATTTTACTCTGTATTTATAGTACTAAATAACTGTCCTGTTTGTGTAGGTTCAGTCTTTCCCATTACAGCCTGAGGATAAGGGGCTCTATCTTTGAATATATAGCAGGTGTTGCATTAATATTTGTTAACTTGTTCTTTCTTCCCAATAATTTCAACACCTTCTCTTACTAAATAGGCTGCGTTATCTTTTTGTTCCATACACATTTCCATCTTTGACTTTTCTCATGCTTTTTTTTTTTCCCATTTGAAATGCCTTCCCTTCCCTACTTGTTCAAATCCTATTCATCTTTTAGGACACAGCTCATATTTTACCTCCTCCTTCCATAAAGCCTTTCTTAATTCCTCTGATCCACAGAGTAGTCTCTGTTTCTAGCCTCTAAAATTGTTTATGCTACTTATAGATAATAATAATAATAATAATACATTACCTTTTATTGTTATTTAACCATTTGATGTGCATGATTCTTCTCTCCCTAGATTATAATATCTGTAAAGTACCTATAAGAAGGTACTTTTTCTTTTTTCCTGTTTATACATTGGGCACAGTATTTGTTAACTTGAAGTCAAACATCTATCTTTTTGTTTGCTTTCCTCTTTTGTTATTCTATACTTCCTTCCTGATAACTTTTTAATCAATTGGGTGATACTGGGAGAGAAGGAAGCTGAAACAAATGCTGTTGCCTAATCACCTAAGGTCTCTAGGATTGCTATCCAGCCAGAGGGACAATCTCATTCTTCCATGAAACCTACCTATAAGGAGTAAACTGAAGCAGCCAGTGAGACTTGGCAGATGTAATGACTAACCTTCTCCAAAGTGGGACGTGCATGACCATGTCACAAGGACTTTGGCGGCTGGGGTTAGTGAGATCTAATCCCATTGTCATGGGATCCAGTGTCAGGGGTGTAGGCCTGCATTATGGAAGCCAAAGTAATATATGTGTGCCCATGTCATGTAGTTGGGTATGTACCCATTTCAGGGACTAGGCCTGTGTCAAGGGGTTATTTTGTAGTACACTGGCACAGGCCTTCAAATTTGCATGTGAATTTCTCAAGGAACCATGATGTCATCTCTTACCTCTGTGATTTCCATCTTTTGTCCAGTCATATTGTAGATATCACCTGTTGGGAAATGGATCTTGGATGTCATTCTGACACAGAATTATATGTCAGACATTTTGCAACCCAGTCCAAGAATCTAATTAAAAAATCAAGTAATAATGTATTGCAAACTGTCTGGAAGAGGGTAAACAAGTCTGAAAAAGAACTTGAAGGTCCCTCCGCATGATTTTCTCATTCCTAGATCTTCAAGTCCTTGATTCACACTTGAACCTTCCTTACAAGCTCACCAGTGAATTTTCTGCTTTTCCTCCCTTCCCAAATCCTGGTCATTAATGGGAGGAGAGTTAGGGCACCAGTTCTGCTCTCTTAAGTGAAAGTGAATGGACAACTGTGGGAAATAAGTGGCACCAGAAGGAAGTTTCTTGGTAACTTTGCAGTGCATACATGATATCAATTCTCAGGTACAGTTTATTTTTTAATTTAACTTAATTTTATTTTTTTTTGTTTTTTTGGTGAGGCAGTCAGGGTTAAATGACTTGCTCAGGGTCATACAGCTAGTAAGTGTCAAGTGTCTGAGGCTGGTCAGGTACAGTTTAGAGAGAATGTAGGTATGCACTGGAGTAGATGGCCTCCAAAGTTTGTCTTAATTTTATCATCTTACACTTTCCTCACTTAGCAAGTTTAAGCTAGTAACTGCACAATGGGTGAAAATGCCAGAAAGATATGACTCTGGATAGGTTAGTCTATAGCAGGCTTGCACAATATACGGCCTGCCAAAGCATTTTGGGTGGTCCACAAAATATATAGGATTGTCACTGCACACTCTCTTGTTGTGTGACCTGTGGCAACCAACCATCATCAGTCTGTCTCTAGTCTAACCTATCTGCAGCCCAAAGAAGCTTAGCCTATTTAATTTTGGCCCCTATGATCTATAGGATTCATCAGTGATTTAGGTCTTCAAAGGGGCTACCAGTATCCAGAGGAAGCATATAGCTAGTACATGAACAATTTAGTATAGACTGTTGGACTTGAAGTAATGAAGAATTGGGTTCAAATCTGGCCTCTGCTACATATTCTTTTGTCATTTTTTAATAAGCTGCATAACTATGGGCACTGTAAAATAGGGATAATGATTGTAGTTACCCATCTCACAGGGCTGTGTTAAGGCTTATACAATATACGTAAAGCACTTTTGTTCAGTTGTTTTTCAGTCATGTCCAACTCTACAAGACTCTATGTGGGGTTTTCTTGGCAGATACTGGAGTGCTTTGCCATTTCCTTCTCCAGCTCATTTTACAGATGAAAAAAACTGAGGCCAATAGGGTTAAGTGACTTGCCCAGGGTCATACAGCTAGTAAATGTCTGAGGCCAGATTTGAATTTAGGAATATGAGTCTTCCTGACTCCACGCGTGGCACTCTCCACTGTTCCACCTAGCAGCCCTGTGCTATCCAGCACTTTACAAACTTCAAAATGTAAAAATGCCAGTTATTACTATTTTCTTGAGAGACCATCTAGTACAGTGGAAGAGCATGGACTTGGAATCAGAAGAGCTTGAGTTCAAATCCCATTTTTGACATTTGTGACCATGGATGAGTCATCTCTGATAAGGCTCACTTCTGAGCCTCAGTTTCCTCATGTGTAAAAAAGGAGATGATAATACCATTAGTACCTAACTCAAAGAGTTATAAAGACCTGATAATTTAATAATAATAATAATGATAATAATATTTTTATAGCATTTTGCAAACCTTAAAGTGCTATATGAATGTCATATATAATTATTACATATTATCAGAGCAAAACAAAATTGTGGTAGCACAAAGAAAATGTGAGATGTGCACATCTCCATCCCAAATGTTTAATGGGACTATTTGTGCCCAACCTGTGGTACAGCTTTTCAGGCTTGTATTGGACTTGATTAATTAGGTGATGGTCTAGATATTCTTGGTATGGGAGATGGTTCATATGTTCATTACAATAATGCCCCCTGGATCTTCATCAGTCTTAACAACAATAAAATTCATTTATACAGTGCCTTAAAGTTTGCAAAGCATTTTATATACATTATTTTCTTGATCTTCATAAAAACCTTGAGAGTTAGGTAATGCAAGTATTATTCAACCTTTGATTCTGTCTGTGACACTAACTAAAGTACTTACCTCTCTCAAAATATGAAAATATCTTGGCCAAAAATGGTCCACCACAGGCAATCAGTACAAGATCTGAATTGGTAGGAATATAAGAAAATATTGGAATGCTCTGATTTGTGGCTATTCTTTTGTCATTTTTAAACTATGTCTTCCTCTTCCTACTAAAAGGGTCATTGTTCATAGACATTCATAGGCAGGGGCCATATAACACACACAGAAATACACTTTAGCTTTGGGAATATGGAATAATCCACAAAAGCCCCAGTTCATGAAATCAGGCAATGAATCTTAGAGTCACTGATCATCTTTCTACGTTCCCTTCCAATAAAAGGGAATATCCTTTTATTGGCTTTTCCCAGCACTTAGTCCATGGAGGAATTCAGAGAAGGGTGGCTGTAGTGTTTTCTTTGCCACATTGAAAGGGTTAAAGGTGGAGCTAGAGTTGGTTTGGAGCACATGCAAACACTTAAGCTTACTGATTTTAGGGTTGGATGATTTATGAAGAGTATTAACATCAATGCCAGATTTTACCATACCAGATTATAAATTGGTAACAAAAGGATTCTGATAGAAAGTAAGATGTGTATACCATATGACTGCCCGTTAATGGAGCACTTGTTGAAAATCATGATATTCTGAGTCAGTGTCCCCGTCTTGTCAGAGAACACATACTGGATCTGGCCGAGTTCCTCATTCAGAGTTGTGGTACGGGCCTGTGCTGGTGTGTCATTTGGGATGTAAAACATTTTTCGATCCCAGTTGATGTAGAAGCTGTTGGCCAATCGTATAATCTCTACACTGAGGAGAAAGGAAAAAAGGGAACTCTGGTTAGTGTGGGATGGAAAGTCCTGCTCTAGGGCTCTGTAGAACATAGCAGAGTAAACGTAAGGGAAGGAAATCTTCTAAACCTGCTCAACAAAAATTTAGAAAAATGCCCAAATCTAACAAAACCTCTAGAAACAACATGAAAAATAAAATTAATCTGAGAAACAATGAGAAAAATGAGAAAAACCTATATAACTAAATATTCTGCATTATAAGAGAAACAAAGGAAAAATTCCAACAGTTTGCAATACCTAGACCTCCAAGGAATGCTAAGTGAGAAGCTTGAATGGATAAATAAATAAACACTGAGTAATTGGGAAAACATTATGAACAAACTTACTTTAATACTTCAAGAATCTGCGATTTCATTGGTGTGTGTGCCTCCTCCACTGATCTAGATTGCAAAGTATCTATGACTTAGATGGTCTTCGAGAATTGTTGTGGCTGAAAAATTTATCACCACAAAGCCAATTTGGGGATAAGACTCTGAATCTAGCTAGGCTGATCCTCAGACAACAAAATCTATCATTAGGCTTATACATGAAATATTTCCAGTTTGGAAGGACCTTACAGAACTTCACTTCAGTGGCAGAACCCTTTGAGAACTCAGTCATCTCTATGCCACAGTATTTTTTCCCTTGAATTTAATGTTTAATGGAGGAAAGGGAAAACAGTATAGGAGAACTAAACATCATTGGAATCAGCAAAAAGCAGAATGTTGAAATTGAGTAAAGAACAGAGAATGAGGGGAATTTTAGCAAGCTGGCAGAGAAAGTTGTTGTGACTAGGCCTAGATTTCCTGTACCACCTCAAAACAAAGACATATGCAGCTTTTTTCTTTCTTTCTTTCTTTCTTTCTTTTTTTTTGTGGTAAGGCAATTGGGGTTAAGTGACTTGCCCAGGGTTAGTTAGTAAATGTTAAGTGTCTGAGGCTGGATTTGAACTCAGGTCCTCCTGACTCCAAGGCCGGAGCTCTATCCCCTGCACCACCTAGTTGCTCCTAAGACAGATGCATCTTTTTAAAAAAAAATTATTTATTTTTAGTTTTCAACATTCACTTCCACAAGATTTTGAGTTCCAAATTTTCTCCCCATCTCGCCCCTCCCCCCACTCCAAGACAGTGTGCATTCTGAATACCCCTTCCCCTAATCTGCCTTCCCTTCTATCACCCTCCCCCTTCTCTTATCCCCTTCCCCTTCTATTTTCCTATAGGGCAGGATTGATATCTATACCTCATTGCCAGTACATCTTATTTCCCAGCTGCATGTGAAAGCAATTTTTAACACTTGTTTTTAAAACTTTGGGTTCCAAATCTTCTCCCTTCTTCCTTCCCCATTCACCCTCACTGAGAAGGCAAGCAACTTGATAAAGGTTATACATGTGAAGTCATGCAAAACACTTCCATAGTAGTCATGTTGTGAAAAACTAACTATATTTCCCTTCATCCTATTGACATATGCTATCTTAAAATAAAATAATAACAACAATGAAAAGATGAAGAAAGAAAAAATCCTCACAGGACAAAATCTCATAGGAAATCCAACAGCAAAATGGAAAAAAATGAGTAAACAAAAATGGGATTCCACTGCAATGAATAAATACTACAGAGTTAAATTAAGAAAAACATCTCTAGAAGGACAGAACATGGCTACTATGACAACTATACCTCTAGAAGAGAGAATGGACACACACACTGCAAGAATCCCCAGAATGGTTTAGAATATGCTCAAGGAAGAATTTAAAAAGAACACGATAACCGACAAGGTTATCTACAAATGGTAGAAAATATCAATGAAGGAGTAGATGCTCTGAAGAGTAAGAATAGTTAAAAGAGGAAAAAAAAATTTGAAGATGCAAGAAATAAATGGAACAAAATGTATAAAAGTAGCAAGAAGGAAAGATCATACTTTTAAAACTGAAAGGTAAATTAGACATTATCCAACCATATTTCAACCACTTAATCCAACTTATTTTACAGGTGAGGGAACTGAGGCCCCAAGAGATTAAATATTTGCTTAAGGTTACTATGTAAGGCAATTAAGTGGAAGAGTCAGGATTTGAATCTAGTTTTCTTAACTCCAAATCCAGAACTTTTTTTTTTTACACTACACCATGAGAATCCCTACAAAACAAACAACAAAGCCCAGAGGACAGATCAGAATGAGGCAATATGAGGATTACTGGACATTCAGAAAATTACTAATAAAGAGTTAAAATGACATATCTCAGGAAACCACAGAAGAAATTTGCTCAGAAGTATTTTGGAGTGAGTGGAGTACAAACTGATAAACTACAGAGGATACTGCAAAAGAGGAACCCTAAATTTAGTTCATCCAGAAAGTAGCCCTTAAATTCTAGAATTTCAAAGTTGAGAGATTCTTGCAAGCAACCCAAGAAATCAATTTATATATCAACAAGCACTAATTTGAATTGTGTAAGACTATTCACATGAGAACAATATATCAAAGAGGCTAGAGTATGAAATACTAAAAAGGGAAATTGATTATATCCCAAGATTACCCATTCTGCAAAACTGAATGTTAATCAACAAGCATTTATTAAATATCAGCTACATGCCAGGCACAGTGGTAGGCACTGCAGAGAAAAGCACAAAGAATGAAACAATCCATACTGGCAAGGAGCTTACATTCTAATAGGGAGGACAAGTACACATGTAAATATGTATAGCATAAATATAAAGTGAATAAGCATAAATATGCAAATTTGTGAAATATATGGTAGTTTCGGAAGAGGACACTAGTAGTTAGGGGGATGAGGAAAGGCTTCACACAGAAGATGGTACTTGAATTGAGTCTTAAAGAATAGAGAGACTCTTCAAGGTAGAGGTAAGAGGGAAGAGCATTCCAGTTCTACAGGACAGCCAATGCAAAGACACAAAGATGAAAGATGGAGTGTTCCATTTGAGTAAGGTGGATTTTGTTATTCTTTTTTAGATAATAGTTCCCAGGATCCATGGCCATAACCATCTCTAGTTCCCAGGCTCATGGCTTATAAACAATCTCCCCACGCTTACACAGTGGTATATAATGATAAATAATATAAACACTTGTGCTTAAGTTGTAAATATCCACTGTGACTGTGCAGTGAGATATAACAATGAGATAATGTAAACTTGTGAGGCTATTGCTGGCAAATTGCCTTCTTTGTGTGCTTCTCTATAAATATATATATAATTATATTTAAATTAATTAATTTATTTAAATTATATATAAAAAATAAAAAAGAGAGCACTGGTCAGTAAGTGTGGAATCTGTATTTGCCTCCACCAGCCCCCACTGAGGCTTAGGGGGATTTGGGGCATGCATGGAGGAATCTGTGTTTGCCTCAACCAGCCCCCATTGAGACTTAGAGGGATTTGGGGAATGCATAGGGAAATGCACGTGTGTCTGCCTCAACTGGCCCCCATTGAGGCTTAGGGGAGATGTACTAACTGGAATGCTGTGCGTCCCTTGGGGGAATTTGTGAATGTGTGTGCTTATCTTAACTGGCCCCCATCAAGATTTAGGGGATCCTGTAGGAACTGGAGCTCCTACTTTGTATATTCTCGCCTGCCCTTGTGAAAAGAGTAATTATGGGTGCTGGAGGAGTTGGTGCTCCCATTATCAGTAACCCCATTGAGATAGAGTAGAATAGAATAATGTAAGCTAATTATTTATCACTTCATTATGTCTCCATTTCTGTCTTTCTGTCTGCCTGGATCAAGAGTGAACCTGCTGGAAAAGCTCCTGGTCCAAACTCCTGTGCGTCTTGTGTGACACTAAGTTGTGTTATCTGTGCGATGATGAGAAACAGAGAGGCTAATTTGGCTGGATGGCAGAGTAAGGGAGATGGAGTAACATCTAGTGAAGGTAGAAATGTAAGTTGAGACAAGGTTGTGAAAGGTATTAAAGCTAAACAGAGGAGTTCACTTTCTTATTGGAGAGGCAATAGGAAGGCACAGCAGTTGACTGAGTGTGTGGGGGTGTGTCACACAGCCACTTAAAGAAAGTTACTCTGGCAGCATGTGTAGGATGGACTAAAGTGGTGAAGGACTTGAGTCAGGGAGACCAATTAGGAGGCAGTTGCAATAATTCTGTAGGTGAGAGGAGATGAAAGTCTGAAATAAAGTGGTATATGTATGAGGAAAGAGAAAGGATCAGATACAAGAGATGTTCTGGAGGCAAAACAACAGGATTTAGCAACTGGTTTGATATCTAGGATGAGGGAGTGTTAGCTGTTGAGGATAATGATGAGGATACGAACCAGGGAGACCAGAAGGATGATTGTATCACTGATGGAAACAGAAAAATTTGGAACAGGGGAGGGTTTGGGGGAAAAGGCAATGAGTTTGATTTTGGACATGATGAGGCTGAAATGTCTCCAGGACATTTAGAAATGTCCAGTAGGCAAATGGTAATGTGCAACTGAAGCTCAAGGGAGACACAGGGGTTTGATACACAGATCTGAAATTCTTCATAGAAATGTTAGTTAAATGCATTGGAACTGATGAGGTTACCAAAAGAGAGAAGCAAAAACTGTCAGTCTATTTTCTAACTGCCTCCCCTCTACAAAGCAATTCACAACACAGTTCACCTGCCTCCTACAGCTCTTCATCTACTAGCTTCATCTGCTCTTACTCAAGACCATATTGTCAAATTGTACATTATTATGATTGGTCAGCTCTATCAGCTCCCAGGCCCTTGCTGAATTCAACAAATATTTACTAAGTTCCTATTGTATGTAGAGCACTGGGGGAAGTACAAAGCATGGAAAAGATATAATCCTTGTCCTTGCAGGATTCACAATCTTGAAGGGGAATATAACATACACAAATAACCAGAATACTAAACATTATGTGTAAAATACAAAAGATGTGTAAATAAACTACTATGTTAGGTGTGAGGGAGGGAAAAACATTACTGATAGAGGGGCAGGTTTAGCGAAGGTTTCCTGGAAGAGGTGGCATATGATTA